CTTCATAATATTTTGTTTATCAAGAAACCTGGTAACATGAGTTTTTCGGGACTGACTTTTCCATTGTGTCAAAACCTTTTATAAAGGAGTATATACTAAAGATTTTTTTAGGTACTGTTCTGTGATATGTTTGCATATTGTTGTTTTTAAATGTATGTCTAGACTGCAAATAGATCACTGGAATAAAACCACATTTGAAAACATCTGCAGTATAAATATTGCATTGCATGCCTGGTGAATAGGATGGATGAATTCTATACTATATGCCACTCAGGGATGTATGACTCAACAGATTCCTTAGGGTTTTTTTTGTTTAAATAAATATACAACTACAATCTGAAAAAAAATTGGACCTAATAATGGAGTTTAATGTTTTATAATTATTTTGATATTATGGGATCTGCATCAGTGAATCATGAGACTAACTGATGCAGGAAGAATTGAAGCATTTAATGTATTCTTCCTGAAACAGAAAATAGAATCTAGATATTTATGTGGATGAAAATTATAACAAAGCTGTGATGGTTTTTATTGCCAAATTGTATTTATTTCAGTACAAACAGTTGGTAATATTCTAAAAGTGCTAGTCAATGTATGTTGCCTTTGCGACATCCTGCTGTATGGAGTTTTGAGTCTGTGTATGAAAAGGTACCAGCTGGCACTGGACTGAAGGAAGGGTTGCTCTAGGTTTCTTTTCATATAAAGATTTTGTGCCTTAGGAAGTCTGCAGTGAGGTTAGGGCCTACTAATAGAAGTTTATGAAATTAAATTTTAATGTAAACATTTGTGCTTTTTCCTTCTGTCTTGGACTACCTTTTCTTTGGCAGAACAGACTTTGTATGCATATGTGCTAATATGATGTTAATATTTCTTAAGTGATTTTTAAAAAATCTTTTGAACGTCAGTATATAGAAAAATGTATTGATTTTCAGTGAATATGTGAAATTATCAACAAGTTATGCCGTTCTAGCCTTGGTGGTGTGCTAATGCTTTCTCCAGATCCTCGTCTGCCTGCAGAGTCCGCAACTACTCCTTGCCAATTTCACAGGCTGTCGGGCCAAATCCGTGATGTATTCCACCCCTTCTGTGCTGTTAGTCTGGAACCAATTCAAAAAATGGTACTTGTACACACCTGAGGGTTCCCCATGCACAAACCCAAATATCGGACGCTGTCCTAGCAAGCTCCAGGATGAGGGATGCTGTCATGACAAAGCTTATGGAGTGCCAGCTCTGTGTAGGGTTTCTCAAAATACTCCATCCACAGTTGCGATGCTGGGCTAGAGCAGGGCAGGGCTGGCCTCTGGGTTGGAAGGGGAAAAAGCCTCTCACACCCTTAGTGATGACGCTGCAAAGTTCCACCAGGGATAAAGACCCCTTTGCCACAGTCAAATACGACTGCTTGCTGAAATGGAGCTTTTACTAGGTGGGCAGCCAGTGTAGCAGGACAGTTCAGGAACTCTGGACGTCTGCATCTTGTTGAGTTGAGAGATAATGATAAATGATACATGCCCATACGTCACTTTGTCTAGAATGCTAATGTAAATTCTCCTTCACTGCAGTAATAGAATGTGAAACTTCCGCCAAAAACTGCCATGTAAATCAGAGCAGTTCTCTAATAGGAACAGCTGTCTCCATGCAGGCACTGAAGCCTTACATCATCCACTTCAGGATGCAGAGTGTCACAAGCTATTCAGATAGCTGGTCTCTAGGTCCTGGTCATCCGAGATCAAATGGTTTCTGTGAGATTTGTTTACAAAGAAATGAAGGATGTTTTACTTGAAGTGCTGAATGGGAAGCCTCTGAAAGAAAAGGCTCACTGTGATTTGGTTTCTCCTTTTTTAACAGGGATGTGTTTGTACTGTAGCTGTCACAGAGAGCTGAGGGTAGGGAATAGCAGCAAGTTCCTGTTCAGATACGAAAATCAGATGTTCGGTCAGTTTCCCAGATGGTTGGTTTGTGTCCAGGCAGTGAGTTGCAGATTATAGCATATCTAGCAAGACACTTTTTGAGAAATCTGCCTCTGCTATCCTGTAGGTACAGAATTTATTCCAGGTTTATGTGGGATGAATGGTACCATTTCTTGTCATTTGAAGGATTTCACATGAAAAAATCCATAATATTTAATGGAGTGCTCATTTCTCAAGTGTTAAAATACTTCTGTTTGCTAGAGAAGTGCTCCTTGAAGAGCATTACAGCTGAAGGTTAATGTCACCAGCTCTGGAAATAGGATGCATTCCCATGAATGCTATGACCAAGGAGGCCTTTGTATTGTTTGCTCTGGTATTCTACAGGGCAGCTCAGGAAGTTACCATGCCAATCACTTCTTTTGTTTTCAGATCATATGATATACAAAGTATCCAACTGTCTTAAGTTAACACCATCTGATACTCAATTTCCAAGGAGAAAACCAGTGTGGCTGGGATTAATCTGGGAATGATTAGTTGTATTATTTACAGGTTGATGAAATCTTCATTATAATCAGTGACCATGGCAGCTTCCCTATTCAGGAGAAATGGCACAAACAACTACGCTGCTTCTTCTGAAGTAAGACATCTGAAACAAAGCTGTGAGAGCCTGTCTGAAGCTTAGTTATCTGGGTGGATTGGTTCTGCGGCTGGAAGTTGGGTTTGGTAGAGATGCTTCAATGCATCATCTTCAGGAGAAGGGGTTGTGCTGCAGCTTCTGATGCAACTCAAAAGACTTCAAGAAATAGACTCGTAGGTTTTCTTCAGGTTTGGGCATCTAACAATGAAAATTTGTCTACTCTATGCATCAGGATCTGTGAAACGTGTGAGTGAACAGCAACTAAACTTGGACTGATAGCGCAGATGTTCAAAAAGTGTCTAACTATAGGGCAGTTTATCCTGGATTGTCTTTCAAGAGAAGACTGTGAGAGTGAACATATACTCCCACTGACAAATGGGGAAGATTGCCTCTGAAAATTAGTCCTCTATTAACTCATCATTTTACTGATTTTATGATTAATCAAATCTGATTATGATCATTATGTGTAACAGGAAAAAAGATAGTAAAAAATGCGTATGGGTTTGATTTGAGGAAATTATCCTAAAATTTTGTCGAAATTGGAAAAATGGGGTCTGGAAGGCAATTTATTTGCAGTGAGCACATTGTTTTGCTTCCAGATGCTGGCACAATAGCAGCTGTGTTACTTGGCTTTCCAAGAAAGACAGGATGATCTGGGAAAGAAGAATTCACATCAATATAGAAGCACATCTCTTGAGGATAATGGATTTTATGGCAGGCAGTGCTTCCTCCCAGAAATGCTAATGGGGAGGTTGTGGCAAGGCATCCCTCTGTTACACTGCTGTTCCTGATGCATACTGACACTGGTGAAACACTGATTCATTTACAAATGGTTTGTGTCTTTAAAAGCATGGAAGATGATCACAGCAGAAGTGTGTGTTCTTGAAGGATAAATGGTTGTACTGCTTGAAAGGGACCCCAGCAATGGTTACAGCGATGCAGCATTTCCATTTTGAGAGGTGTTGTTTAAGGACACCTGCAATTACTTGTTAGACTGGGAAAATCTGAAAGGTTGGTTTCTGAATAGCTGGAAAAATCACAGCAACCATCAGGCCTGGGCAAAGCGTGGTGGTACTGATGCCCTACGGAGGTGAGCTTGTTGACAGGTGAGTTGCTCTACAGCAACTGAGTGGAAATGGCTGTCCAGGCATGCTCGGGAGGAGATGCCGACTCCTCTCTGTAATTCACAGGGGGGCAAATGTTACAGGGGAAAACACTCTCAAAAACACTAGCATAGGATGTGTTTAGAAAACCCTTGAGCAAATGGAGGCACCTTGCTAAGAAATCTGATTCCATTACTGCCAAAGGGGTTTTCTGGATGCCTTGACTGAGGCGAAGTTTAACAAATGATGCAGCAAGAGGCAGCAATTAGCTGGGCAGTCTGCAGCTGTCTCAAAATGTCAACACTGAAACAAAAGCAGGATTTCTGTAGAGCAAAATGTTGGCAAAATACAGAAAACTGCTGAAAGGAAATACAGTGTTTTCATTGCACAGGAGGCTTCCCGTGGGATACTGGAATCTCAGGGAATAGTTCTGTTCCTCAGACAAACCTGCTGGTAGAAGTGGACTGCTTTCTGAAAGTTTATAAGTATATAATTAGGAACCAAGAAATAGCAGGAATAACAGAGGGATAGAGATTCCATTGAGCCAGTTCTTTATGCTGGGAGTATCACAGATCAAAAGGAACAACATCATATTCAGAGGAGTCCACAGAATTTGTGTCACTGTTAGAAATGTGCAAAGATCTGTTGGACCTGGAAGGCAGAGTCGCGCCAGAGATTGGAATGGGTTTGTGCTGCTAGTTCCTTTGAACTGTTTTCTTCAGGGCACTTATGAAGAAAGCAGGAATTTTCAGGGATGCCAGGACCTGTGGAGCTGGATTGACAGAAGAATGCAATGAATTCAATGAATGGAGATAAACATTTTTGGTCCTTATCAAATAATTTTATCAGGGCTCTTCATTTAGAAGACGAAGTGGCCTTCACCTTTAGAATGCTTTAGTTTTGGTAGCTCAAAAGATTAATCACATACTTGCTTTGCTGTAGCTGTGAGCAGCAACACCAGAAGTCTGTTTTTTGTTATCTTCTAACAAGGTGAACTTATTCTTTGGGTTGAACACTGATGTCCCATCCCTCACCATAACTTCTCCTACCATATGTTTCTTGATGCAGATGGACTGGTATGAAAACAAATACAGGATTAACACAGGGTAACCCCTGGAAAGTGTAATGGGGAATTAAACCACAGAACTTCTCAGGAGAGGATTAACACACTCTCCTCAAACCAAGCCATCAAACAAACAACACCCTGCCAGCAGCAGGGTCCCAGCAAAAGTCACTGGAGAGTCTTTCTGTTGGGAGCAGAACATGGTCCAGTTTTGTAAGAGACATTTTAAGGAACCCAGCCCAGGTAATGTGAGACTAATTTAACTGATTTTGTAGAAAAGATCACAACTACTTAATAAAGACCTAAAGAAGGGTTTTACAAAAAAAAAAAAAGTTTCTCTGTTCTAGGCTTCCGGTCTAGAACAAGTGTCACTTTCTCTAATCCTTTTTTAGGACTGAGAAAATTGTATTTTGTGAGATTAAGAGTTTATATATTGTCTGAAATGTTTCAAAGGGTAATGTAGTTGTAAGATTGGCAAGGGCTTGTTTAAAACATACTGTTTTAATAGTTAGGAATACTGTGTTTTGTACAAGGTTTGCTTACCATTAGTGGCTTGTTCTCACAGGAATCTTTGTGAGTGCCTCTTGGATACTTGTAAAAAAGCTGTATCTCTCTGACAGTTTAAATAAGCCCCATCACCATGATCTTTGGCATAGTAATGAAGTACTGCTTACACATTGCAAACTTATTTTTTTCAAAGTATCTATATAAAGCAACCCATAGACATATAAGACAACACAGAGTTATATGCTATAGAATTATTACATTAATATTAATAGATTCATTGCATTATTTCCCCACAGAAGCACAACTGACACCTCAAACTGGTCATATGAAAGTAAGGGGAATCCATGTCATGAAGTGATTTCAGTGCTGATGGAACAGGGAGACTTACCTGATACAGACTATATGTGTCTAAATCCGGGGCTCCTTGAATGCTTCAGAGCCAGTGACAAATGAACTCTGGTCTGACCTTGTGAGGATCCCAGGTGTGTATCATCCCCTGCCCTGGCTGGGGATCCCCTATTTCCCTGCCTATTCTCATCCTTCTTGGGACAGCTGTTGAGTCAGAAAAGTATCACATAGCTGGCAGGAAGATGCACTGTCCAATTGGCAGAATCACCCACCAGACCTCTGGACAAACGGGCCCTGTGATCAATAATTTGGCTCTTGCATCCCCTGTTTGCTGGTTTTCCAGCCGTGCTGCTCCAGCAGAGAGCGCTTTTGTTACCTGCTGGCACAGTGCCTGTTGAATCTGCAGCTCTGCTCTACACCACAGACCCCAATTCACTTCTAGTTTACTTTCTAATAATTAATTTGTGTCTCTTGAAACAGTACACATCTAATTTGTTTGCTTTCCTGATATCTTGCTCTAGACAAAGGCATTTTAAACAGCTTTTAAACACTGTAAATTTCACATGATTTTTGAATGCTGTGTAGAGTTACCATAATCCTTCCTCTTTAAAAAAATAATTCTTACATTGATGGATCATAATGAAAAAACTTATTTGGCACACAATTTTAGTCAAATGGGTTTGTCTTCAACAAAGCAGTGAAAATCAATATGAAAATAAGGAATGGTTAAATGTCATGCTAATATTTCAGACAATTACTGAGTTTCAAACTTTCTAACTTAGTAGAGAAAAGCCCAAGGAAAAGGGTTTTATCAGAATGAAAAAGTTATAGTTGGTTTAAATTTAAGAATACCCAGGAAAAACCCTTACTTCTGTAAAATAAGAAAGTGAGGAAGAATTGACTTTGAAAAGTTGCATTTATCTAATTTTACCATGGACTCCTAACCTTTCATAGAAGGTTACAAAAACAAGGCAGGAATGTGCCTTCCCCAAGGTGACCCAGCCCATGGGCTGCCCCAGGCCAGCTGGGCCCACACCATTCCTGTCAGACCTCTTGGCTTTAAAACAGTGCTGGAAGGGAAGATAGGGATGCAACCGGCACCACCAGCCCTTCTGCCAGTGCTGGCAACTTATTGCACTAGTGAATCAGTAGAAGTCTGCAAAAACATGCAGTTGAACAAGAGAGCTTATAACTTTTTTCTCCATTTTGTGGAAGCATGTAACCCACTAATGCAGTTCTATCATTTGCAGTTTTGTGTTCATAGAAAGCAAGGACTCTGCTTGTGTGTCAGCACAGGTGTACATGGCTCAGGATGATGTATTCCTGATCATGTGATTTACCTCAGGTTTTGCCTTGGTTCTTTTGTTTTGACATAGCCAAGGGAAAAAGAAAACAACTTTAATGTCATTTAAAAAAATCCAAACTAATTCTAAGCTAAATGACAGAGTTATAGCAAAAGACATTATTTCTGAGAGCAGTTTGTTTGGTCACAAAACCTGCTCCAGTGCACTGCATCCAAGTTTCCTTGGAGCAGACTTATACTGAGGATTGTGTTGCTGCTCTACTAGGGTAACTCTGGACAGGATTTAACAGTCAGGCCCTGCAGTTCACTCAGAAGTTAAATTAGCCCTTAAAGCCAACTTTTTTCTCATGACTATTCAGAAGGAATGAAAAGAAACTACCATTATACTTGAGAGAAGCAATGGGGGGCCTTGAGATGGAACTGACCCACTGTATGTGTTTAGGCTTTTAATTAAAAGACCTCATTTAATTTTTCACAGGATTTTGGCAACTTACGAAGCTGAAAGATAATGGTCTTATTCACTGTGAAAATACTTACTGTGATTTGCTTAAAGGGCAAATGTTTCCAGGGGCTGGATATGCCCCATGGTAGGTGGAAGCATCACTTGATGCTGCTTTGGCTATAGCAGAACAGTAGTGCTGGGGGTTACACAATTGTCTTCATTGATTGCTCTGAAATGCAGAGTTTAGGAAATAATGTGAGGGGGCTTAAATGAATCAGTTATTTTATATTGGGAATATTTGGTAGACCCTGATTTTTGCTCTTCCTTCTCATGCTGCAAAAGTCTCTTAGATTTTAATAGCATTCTGCAGAAATTAACCTGAAAAAGTATCACATTTAATAATAGCACTAATTCCTGGGCAACTCTACAGGATTTTCGGTCAGAACTGTGTTTATATCCCAGATTGTGCATACACACTTGAGCATTAAGAACCAGCAATACTAGCGGTTGGGGAATTTGCTTTCCTGGCACTCGAGAGTAAATAATCCATTTTAGGTGGTCAGTCCATCTTGAGCATTTGTTTGTTTTTCTCAATTATGCTGTATATGGCTTTTGTTTGCTAAATTAGTAGATCTTCTGTTTTCATAAGAATAAGCAGGTTTACTGACTCCCCTGGTTAATGCTATAGGGTTTTTGGGAAGCTATATGCGATCGGTTCTATTTCTGATATCGTGCTGAAGGATGGTCTTTAATCTGTGGCTACATTTGTGTTCGTAAGTCATTTGGCACAATAGGAGAGTGCCTGTAAGGTGAACTAGTCCATGCTGTGGGCTAGCTCGGCTTTGCTCCCACAGGAGCAATGCCCAGCAGCAGTCCAAGTGCATTAAATGCACTCCTGGAGTGCATCTTCTGGTTTGAGTTTCATCTGAAAGGAATCCAGCTGGTGCACTCTGAAAACCAAAGCAGAGTCTGCCAGGCTGATAGGGAGAGTCACTTCAAAAGCTGCCTCCTGATCCAAACTGAAATACTTGTGCAGGCACACCCTGCCCAAGTGAGGGGCCCTGCACGCACAGCACCCCCGACTCTCCCCCAAAATACACCTTGCTGGGAAAAACACACTGAGTTCAATGTTTCTGCTCTTGGTAGAAACATTGCCTTCTAAAGTCAGCTTTTTCCTCACCTTAAACTGTTTTTTTCCTATTAATTGATTCACTGGTTCTTATATCAAGTGCAAAGGGTGGTGGAGAATGAAAGTGAGAGTAAATTGTAGCACTGATCATTTCTTATCAGTTCCCAGACCGGTAACGTTTCTCCTTAGAGATGCTGCATCCATTCCTGCAAGAAGCTACACATGTGTATGAAGTTCTGCTATGCATGAATCCCACTACAGGCAATGGAAAGTCTGCTGTGTATTAGGTAATTGCACATGTGAATTTACAGTGTTGGGATCCTTTGTTTCTCAATGGAAGCCTTGCCATGCACCTAACAGCAGAGTAAGGAAATGGATTTGTATTTTTTTACTCCTAGAAAAAATGAATTCCTTTCCCCTCCCATGCTTTCTTCGCAGGAAAACTTAACTGAATTTAGCAAGCTTACAGAAGCATTTTTTCATTTTAATATAGATGTCTTAAAAGATTAATTTCTCCCTGAAGACATTTGGGCAAGGTGGAGAGAGAGATTGATCATTTCCAGATGTTCTTTGCTGACAGGCAAAGAAAAATTCTGCTTCAGGTTAACATTTGTGAATGTGTTTAAAGAATATACATTTTGTATGCAAATTGCCAGGGAGAGCACAAGCCAGTGCAAAGGGGCTGAGATGCCCAGATTTGCAGCATCATAGCTGCTTTAATAAGGTGGGGCTTGCCCCTGCTGACTGGCCTAAAAGCCTTGGGAGCATCTCTTCCTGTATCTCCTGTGGACAGGCAGGGGGATTTGGATGTGCTTTTCAGACAGAAACACCAAGGCCATGTGCAGTGTGCTTTGAGGGAGACAGTTGACTCTGCAGTGCTTGCTGAATCAGACATATTAAACTACATAATTCACTGTTTCTTTGATGTTTTGGGTACAGTTTCTAATGGGGTTCCTTAACATTGCACACTAAGTGCTGGCAAGACTTGGCACAGCGAACAAGTAGTTTGGGGTTTCTGGGAAGTACCTCGAGTTAGAGAAGCAGGGGGAGCTGGTGTCTTACATGTTACCTGAGTAGAGAGTCAGTCTGATGGAGCAATTGTGCACTGGCGTCCTGCTCACCCTGTGTTGTCCGACTTCCCGCAGGGCACAAGCAGCACTCCAGGGTCGGACCTGCAGTTGCTGCTGCTTTTGCCCTTGCACAAGCAATTGATGCTCACTCTCATACTGACTCTCTTGCCTGGCAGTAGTGTCCAATGACTACAACAGGATTTCTTAATGGTGAAAGATGAGCATCAACCAGTTCTGTAGGAGACCCTGGTGCCTAGGAAGAGCAGATTCTCTTTCAGTTGGTTTTGATCTCTAAGGCAACAGCAGCCACGGCACTGAGCATGGGAAGTAACGGAGCTCATGCCAGTCAGCAGCAAAGGAAATGCCTCCTTGGGAAGCAGTCTTTCCTAACATCCGTCTGTAACAACTGTTGTCCTTCTCAAATGATGTGTGGAACCAGAAACGCCACTGGAGACCAGGACGCCTTTGTGAGTCACAAGCTGGTTTTCACTGGGTGGGCAGAGGAGGGGGGGCAGTCAGCAGAATCAGCCCTGCATGTTGCCTCCTTGAGCACACTGAATCCTGGAGAATGGGTTTCCATCGGAATGAGCAGTAAACCTGTCTATGTTAGAGGTTGCTGCCTGCTAAGACTGTTTTAAGTAACTGACAGACAAAAAGACTGATAAACTCATTTTACTATCTAGAGAGGGCTCTGCCCCTGGGCATGGCAAAGCTCAAGGCCCTGGGAGCATTATGGGCGAAGCCCTTCCAAGGCCCAAGGAAGAGGTGTGTGAGGACCACAGCGGATGTGAGGTCTAGGATGGTAAAGTCTCGCTTCAGGAAGTTAATCTCCTGTGAAGCTGTGCCATGGCACTTGTCCCAAACTCCTGCAGTAAGCTCAGCTGTGACAGAGTAAGTGAGGGTAAGGAAGTGATAAGGGGAAGACAGGAGGTAAAACTAGGGGGTCATCATTCTCTGGGGTTCCTCAGGTAAAGCAGGTAAATACCTAAGGGTCTTCCTTAAGCCCCTGTGTTGTTTAGAAAGGAAAACAGGTAGGGCCCTGTCTGTCACACACGTGTACAAGGTGCCAGCTCAGAAAGGCTGCAAACTGGTAATGGGGTCTCAGCACATAATTTAGCCTGGGATAACTGATGAACTATATGCATGATTAGAATGTGCTGTTTGGGGATACATCTTCCAAAGGGATGCTAAAATTGGCACATTTACAATTTGACCTGATTTTCCTTTGTTGCTGGTTGTAAGGGTAGAAGCCACTAAACAGTTAAAACCTGTTTTGTTGTGTTTGGTTGGGTTTTATTTTGAGAAGGAGTGGGATAATTTTAGTTCTTCAGACCTAAAAATTAGATCAAAATCCTGGCAACTGTACAAGATAAATGAGCAACCTTGCAATAAAAGGGTTTTTGTCACCTTGGAAACACAGTTTGAAAAAGCCACTTGGAGTAATTTTAGTTTCAGACTTCCCCCTGCCCTTGTCCCTCCCATGCAAATTCTGTTTTTACACTCAGTATATCCGGTTTAGGTGTGTTTCTTTCATATATAGACAACAGGGGAATTTGCCAGACAAAAGTGGAAGAATACTGAAAATGATCTTGCACATGATGTTTCAGAGCAGAAACTGGTGTTTGGAAACATACAAAGTTAAACTCATCCAAAAATAGATTTTTAAAAAATCAGTCATTTTAGATCTCACAGTTCAATGTAAAAAAAAAAAACAGAAGCTTAACTTTACATAATTAGTTTTTTACATGCCACTGAGTCTTCTTATTCTGGAGAAGCATATGGCATTTAGGAAACAAATTTTAGCAATAAGAAGGAAGGTTGAGGGGTTAAACAAGGAAAAATATACATTGAGAAATTGATTTAATCTATTAAATATACATGGTCTTTCAGAATCCCCATCACTGTAATATCTATGTGAAATTTGTTGTATTAAAATGCTGTGGGTCTTTGTTGTTGACATTACACAGATTATACTGTGGCATGGCTGAAAACTCAAGTAATTAGAGAAGAGATTAGGATAAAGTAGTGCTTCTATCCACTAAAGAATGTAAATATTTTGAATAGTTTCAATAGCTCCCACTTCTATAACAGATCTCACCTGAAGAGTGGCCTTACTGTGAGTGCCTACTAGAGAAAGCACAGAAGCCTTTGTGGCCTTTCCTGTCTACTTGAAATCAGCTGAGACACATTGACTTTCCACTCCCATGCAGAAAATATTTTGAATTGGAAAGTAAATTGATTTTCAATTTTTTGAAAGACTAAAATGCATTTAAATATATATTTTTTTGTCCAGGTAATATTCCTGGAAGCTCAGAGGAACCCCTGCAGGACTGGCTGATGGTCCCTGTGCCAGAGCCTGGTGTCACCTCTGCCACCAGCTGGGCAGGAAGAGATGCCACTAAGGACTATGTGCCATAGTTTGTGCAGCCACAGAAGACTAGCAGGACATTACACCAATACATCACATGAGGCATGATGAGATAGAATAGCTGACTAATATTTGGGTTAAATATTTAGAAATTCTTCCTGACCACATGACTGGTGAGGCTGTTGGAATAATAGAAGGACCATACCATATGACTTGAGGTATTTAAACCGAGATTGATTTGAATATGAGCAAATGGAGGAGATGTGTGATTAAGGGAGCACAAATGAGAATCCATCTTTTCACCTCCATTTTCTTGGGTTCTATTCTGTCTCCCAGGGGTGACTGAATGTTATGATGGACATTAATAATTAAAAGAAGCTTGATGATGCCACCTTCACGTCAGCTGCTGTCCTTTTGTCATTCCTTGTTATGACAGAAGTGGGTGAGTGCTGGGAGCAAGCTGTCAGCAGATGGTAGGCAGCAACTCTGGCAAGTTTGCAAATGAGGTACTTTCCCCGCTGCAGCCAGCAGGATCAACTATTAATCTCCTTGCTGCACTGCTCTTTACAAGTCAAGAAAGCTCATCAGGTCAAAACATGTAGTCCATACTGGCTGTATGGAAAACTTTTTTCTCTGATGAAACACAGTTCTATTGATAGGTGAACTCCAGGACATGGAAAAAAACCTCCATGATTCCTTACCATTAACTTCTCTGATTGCTCCATTTGAAGCACATACAATGGAGAGAAAGAAGAGAATATTTCACATGAAATTCCACAGATCTCTCAGCAACCTGAGTTGATATCCTGTGTTTCTCTGGCTTTTCTTCCCCCCAGTTTATTTGGCTTTGTAACATACAGGATAACTATAATGAAATGATCATATGTGCACGCATATAAATTTTTTGAGGTATAAAATTATTTAGCTTACGTAAAAGAGAAAAATAGACTAGGTCCTTTCAACTTGAGAAAGTCATGGCAGATTTTGCATACAGAAACATCTGTTGCTTAAAATTTAAGATTACAAGAACACATCTTTAAGGCATCCTTGTGATTATCTTAAGTACTTTGAGCACAGCACACACTATATGCAATTCTTAAAAAGGATCAGTCTTCCAATTTAAGGACCTTTCCACTTCTTTTTTTTAATATTGCTTTTCCTGTTACCACACTTAGAAGTCCTCTATACTTGACTCTGACTTGAAACTCAGAATTTTGAGATTGATGATTTTAAAAAAAATTTGCTATTTTTAATGGTAGAAATGGAAGAAAGGAACTTTAAGAAAGTGGATTCTCCTAAGAAGGTGCTCATCAAATGTGTTCCCCCATTCTGGCATTTTGTTGGCTGATAGCAGGTAATTGGAAGTCATTCAAGATATCTTTAGAGTGTTGTAAGTTTTGCAGGATTTTTAATAAATAAATTTTGCATATGCAGCAGGTTTTAGGGCCCTGTGCATAATGGGATTTATGATAGATGTACTTTGCAACAGACCAGAGGTGGACATAGGTGAGAGCTCTGCTTCTTCCTTGTCCTCCTGGGGCAGTCCTGGCTTAAAGATATGGGACAAAATAGACAGAGAAATGCTTATGTAGTGATTTCATTTCCTTTACAGAGAATCTCCTGATGTTTTGAGCAAAAGTTTGAATGTGTTTTTCTTTTGACCAAATATACTACATTATCTGTTGGTGTTTTCTCTCACTTCAACCAAGGTTGAGTGCCACCAATCTGCTGGTTTTGTCTCCATGTTAGAAGAAGTTAATGGTGATGATGGTTGTGATACTGACTATTTTTACTCTATGGGTAATGATTTGGCTTCTTTGTATCCAAAATACTTTGGTATTTTTAGTATATCTTCAGTGAGACTGACATCCTACCATAGCACTGGCATGCTGTAAGATTGCAGTCAGAGGTGGTAATGACAGCCCTGTGGTTCAGTGACATGTTTTGAAAAGCTCATAGAGATGTTAGCTTGCATTCTCTAAAAAGTCAAATACTAACTTTAAAAAATAAGTGTAAGATACTAAAAAGAGCATGAATTACTGTCTTATTTCTGTTTGAACGAAGCACAGAAAGCAGAGCCGTGAACACTCCTCCTGCTTTAGTTAGCTGATAGCTATGAACAGAATTTCCATCACGCTGCTCATTTGAATCTGGGTTAGCCTTACATGGCTCTTAAAATCCTTTCCTGTTTAATTTTAATTACAGTTTAACAGGACAGGTAGACCATGTCTCTGGGAGCAATGGGCTCAGTACTTCACATAAAGGCAGGGTAACCATCCTGATGCTACAAGTCAAATTTCCAGAGCCCAGGTGGCCCATGCCACTGGAGTCAGAGAAGGACTGATAGTGGCAGTGGCTTCTCAGAGCACCTGGTGAGAAGGCACCAGATTTTGTTGGAGGGGGCCAAGCAAAAGCAATGCAAGTGTAGTGTACCAGGTGTAAGATCTTGACAGCGGTGCCTCTTAAAACAGTTTTGGTTTAAGAAGGTTTCTGGCAAGGATACTCTCTAAAAGGGAGTCAGTGGTCTGAGCCAAACACTGAACTGCTCTTGGAGTCTCTAAAATCTGCTTTTAAAAAGGGCAATTCCAACTGCACATATTTCCAGTGCCCAGGGAGCAGATGGTGGACCCATTTTGGTAATGAACACCTTCAGCTTTGTCCAGCCTGTTGTCTAGCAACCTCCTCAGGTTTAGAATATAAATCTTTTATTCTCTCCTTGGTTTGTCTTCCTAAGATAAGCAGCTGTATTCTGGGCCTCTGGGGTGCCTCGGCTGGCCAGTTCAAAATAGGGTCTGGGGGTAACAAAGCTGTGGATGACTGTAGTGGTGTCTGCATCTGAGAGAAAGCAGTCGTTTGGCAGGCTGGAGATAAGATGCACAGCTATTAGCTGCCTGATAGAGTTTCACGGGACTCTTATTTCAGTCCATTTTGATGTCAGGAAGGCAGACGCTTTCAATAAAAAGAGTGCTCATAGATTTTATTGGGGCATTCAAATGCTTCCAGTTCCCAGCTGTCATCAGCTCCACTTTAGTCATATAGTTGTCACTTTATCCCTCTGTCTGCGACAGGTCTTGAGAGAAGAAAGATACTGATTTGTTAAGCTTTAATGAAAAGGAGACTCATTCACATTTCCAGACACTTTTAGTTTTACTCACACAAATGAATCCCAGCAAAGTAAAATAAAGTCCATCCACGGGTACATGATAAATTAATAAGAAACTATTATTCAGATACATCTGAGGAGATCTTGTAGGCTGTGAGGGATGGAATTTTCTGAAGGCAGATCAGAGCAGTTCAAAACCAGTCTCTGAGTGTATACAGAAATGGAAGCCTGTGTACTTAGGAAAGCACAACTTCTTCATCCTATCTGCTGAGGCAGAGCTGATCTCTCTGATGCTGTCAGCAAGGCTGGAAAGGTTATTTTTCAGTCTTTTATTAGGAAATATTTATCTGCATAATTTCATTATTCAACTGTATCAACATTGCCACCTATCAATCAGCATCTTCACCAGGGATATCCTTCCCATCAGTGCAATTTTTTCAAACTTAAGTTTGATTTTTTGCTTGTTCAGTTGTTTACAGTTCTCACATTATCAACTCAGCAAAAGTTAAGTAATTGGTGAAATCTCAATCTGTTAATGAAAAAAAATGTTTAAAAACATTTCTCTTTGTACCTTCAGAAGAATACTGCTTTCTCTGTGTTAAAAGTTACACTGTTAAACCAGTCCTAAATATTTGCCAGTGTCCTAATTAGAAGACTCTTTGAGTTGATGCAAACTCTAGTCCCATTCTCTTGAAGTAGCTTTCACTTTGTGTTGAAGGCCAAGTAAGAAGACTCACATTCAGCACTGTGTGCTTTGCAGCTCCTGAACAAAACAGGCTATGCTGAAAACAAAAGCTCAGCTTTGATTCTTACTCCACTGGCTCAAGTTAGTTCCAGCCAGATCCTTAATGTTACTTTATCTGCAGGGTTTTTTTAATGTGATCAATGCCAACTCTGTTGGGCAAATACAGGATGCATAGGGATTTAAAAAAAATCCAGCTGCCAACAAGAAAAAGTGCTTTGTAACCACAGTTTGGAATGGAAACAATTTTCTAAGATACAGATCAAACTGTGTTTATAGACTCAACTATTGGCAGCTTTTCATCAAGCTATTTCCTGTGTGCCTATTGCATAGAGGAATAATCTAAATGCTTAAACTAACATTTAAAACCATACAGAACATGAAGGAAATACTGTGTGAAGCAGCACGGAAAACACAATGATGTTGAACTTTCTTTTGTTTCCATAGCTAATACTCATGGGAGAAGGCAGTAAGTACTGCACACCAAATGCCAGTACTCCAGATCTTTGCAGGATTTGGTCCTTACTCTGGCCAATACCTACTTTCTACTAATATTGTTTTAATTGCTAAAAGGAAATATCCAAGTAACAAAAATTTTCAAAAATGCCTCCTAAATTAGAGGAACTTGCTAAAAGTTACATACAGCTACTTTAAGTGAAGCAAGTTATTATTCCTTAGGAAAGTAATTCAGATAATCTAAGGCACGTGTAGACAGAAGGAATCTGTTTTCCCATTAAAACAGGTGAAAAATCTGCAGGTCTGAAGATAAGAATCAGGGTAGTTGTAGACTGGTTTGCTCAGTTTGAAATGGTTGCAACAACTTTCTCTTGCAGAAAATCCCCAGAATGGAGCTGCTAGCTGTTTGAATCTTTTTGGCGTTTTTAAATGGGGCAAATTTCCTCTCCCGGACTTCAAATGCATGTCCTTTGCTTCAGGCATCCAAGTGCTCGTGGCACAGCTAACCCCCTGATAACATCAGTAAGGTCAGTGCAGTCAAGCTGTAGTGCCCATGCAAAATTTTAACGGAATTTTGTTGCTGGTGTTCTGCTCGGCTGGACTCCATTCCTTCTATCCCAGCCATGTCTCAGCTCCAGTCGAGGAAAACTTGAGAGTTGGGAGAGTAATTTAGGTTAGATGGGGCCTCTGGAGACTCTCTGGTCAGCCCCAATATGGAGTAGGAGCTGCGTAAGTGAGCTTGGCTGGGACCAGACAAGTTTCCAGTGTCTCCAGGATAGAATTCCCACAGCTTCTCTGGGAAACCTGTTTTGGCATCTGATTATGAGATGCACAACAACAAAAACCCCCCATAACATTTGTTTATACTTTTCTTCTTTACCTGTATGCTTACAGATTAGTTCTGGGAGGCATAGTAAAAGGCTTAGCTTTACATACTGATTCCAGCCTGGAAATCAAAGGGGTTGGGAATAAAAGTTTAACTATCTCAACAGGTAAGATCAGGTTAGAGGTGGTGGCTCTGGACTTTTCCTTTACTTGGGCCCTTGGGTAATGAAGAAAATGTAATTGTGAATAGTCTGCTGGAGATAAATGTGCACACATTAATTGTGCACAGCGAGTGTGCTGTCAGAAAAGCATTGATAGTTTTGGTTTTATGCATTTCTTGTGTGCTACTTTACCCGAGATGCAGTTCAAAACCCAGTCCACGGATGCTGTAATGCAGCTGTCAAAGGGGACAGGATCTGACCCCCCAGCAGGGACAGAGGCCAGAAGACCTCTTGGGACTTGCAGCTCCTCCTCTGCACAGCAGAGAGTATTGGGACCCTCCCAGCTGCCGCCATCTCTTCAGGGATTTTTTCCAACCAAAGGCATTCTGGGATGGCTTTACATCTTGCTCTGAAACTTGTACATAGGTATTTCACAATATGTGTATTTAAAGCAATGCAAATGATTTCAAATGACAGGATGGCCAAATGGCATTTCAAGTTGTTGCACTGTTAACATATGATAACTATTGTGAGATTTATTTTAGATGAAGAGAAGTCATAACTACTCTGTAATGAGTGTAGAAATAGAGGTATTACTGGGTTACTACTGGTGTCTTACATATAAAGATTCAAAAAATCTAATTTTGTTCTTCAGGAAGACTTAATTTCAGATGAGCAAATTATTAAACCCTCCTCAAAATTTGGTAAGAGAGGAAATCTGTATGTGCGACATTCGTGTGCTGCAGTTGCTTTCTGTAGAACTGAATGAGCACTTTCTTTGGTCCAGTATTTGAGGCAGTGCTGTGTAGGATGCATGGAATGCCTGCCTGCTCCCGGCTACCTTCTGCAGGGAGGTGACAGCCAACCTACGACCAATGGGTAGGAGGTGGCAACGGGTCCTCTGCTCTCACCCACAACAAGACAGATGCATTGCCTATGGTTTGTAAGGTACGTCACATAAAAAGCTGCAAAATACAGTCCTGAAGCTGTTTATAATGAAACTAAATGCAGAAGATGTAGAGCCAGGTAGAAGTTAATGAACAAAACTGTCTCAGTCCTTTATCTCGGTAAAAAAATCAGTGTCATATAATTTCCTAAGTGTGGTTTTGAAGGGCTGTGCATTTGCTAATGGAACTAATGGAGGATGTGGCTGAGCAGCTCGTACACCAAAACTGAATTTTTGCCCACTTCAGCAGCCTCAGCGCATTATTCGCTCTGTCCTAATGCTGGTTGTCTTCCACCTGTGTGGCATTTTGGCTGGGATAGTAAGGGCTACTAACATCGAGGCCGACTCCATCCTGGTTCGCTGGCATCACTCCGCTGAGGAGCTGCTGCTCTCCACACGTCAGGCCTGAGGGAACCGTGGAAAACCTGCCGAGAAGCGAGAGCTGCCACATGCACGGCCTGAGCCCAGCGGGAAGATATAAGTTTGCAGCCTACAGATTTGTTTCTTTGGGGGCGGTGTGTGTGGGGGGAGGAACATCAAGGGAAAAGAAGTATGTAAAAC